GTAATTGGAGTTTCTTCATTTTTCTTTACCTTAGTCCTCTGTGCTTCTGTTACTTTTAAAGTTGTGTCGATTGATCATTGCAAAAATGTTCAATTTTCTTCATTTACGTTAATCTTCTTCACATGTACGAATCTTCCCGTAATTGGAGTTTCTTCATTTTTCTTTACTTAGTCTTCTATACTTCTGATACTTTTAAAGTTGTGTCGATTGGTGATTACAAAAATGTTCAATTATCTTCATTTACTTTAATCTTCTTCACATGTACGAATCTTCTTGTAATTGGATTTTCTTCATTTTTCTTTACCTTAGTTCTCTGTGCTTCTGTTACTTTTAAAGTTGTGTCGATTGATCATTGCAAACATGTTCAATTGTCTTCATTTACTTTAATCTTCTTCACATGTACGAATCTTCTTGTAATTGGAGTTTTTTTCATTTTTCTTGACTTAGTCTTCTGTGCTTCTGATACTTTTAAACTTGTGTCGATTAATCATTGCAAAAATATTCAATTATCTTCATTTACTTTAATCTTCTTCACATATACGAATCTTCCCGTAATTGGAGTTTCTTCATTTTTCTTTAGTTAGTCTTCTATGCTTCTGATACTTTTAAAGTTGTGTCGATTGGTCATTACAAAAATGTTCAATTATCTTCATTAACTTTAATCTTCTTCACATGTACGAATCTTCTTGTAATTGGATTTTCTTCATTTTTCTTTACCTTAGTCCTCTGTGCTTCTGATACTTTTAAAGTTGTGTCGATTAATCATTGCAAAAATATTCAATTATCTTCATTTACTTTAATCTTCTTTACATTTACGAATCTTCTTGTAATTGGAGTTTCTTCATTTTTCTTTACTTAGTCTTCTATGCTTCTGATATTTATAAAGTTGCGTTGATTCAGCACTGCAAAAATCTTCAATTATCTTCATACACACGAATCTCCTTTCAATTGGCGTTTCTTCATTCTTCTTTGCAACAATTTTCTGCTCCTTGTATCTTCAATGTTGCATTCAATCTTCGAAAAAATTAAACGATCTTTATTAATTTTAATCTTGTTCAATTTCTTTAATCTTCCTTATGTATTTGTCTATCTTTCTGATATTTTTAAAACTTCATTTTATTTTAGCAATCATAAAGGTAATATTTTATTTGTTTTAAGTGATAGTAATGCTTATAATCAAATTACATTTTAAATTGTTCCTTTTATACTATGAGTTTTCATGGTAATATTACAATTGTTGACTCACAATTATATTTCATTGCAGATAAAGTATTAATTCAATAATACTGTGCATTTTTGTCACATGGCCCAATATACTTAATTTTCTTCTGTAATTGTTCCAATAATAATTAGTTCCAAGAGACTTGATTTATATATCTAATTAACTGTATTGCAATTGCGTAATGCTTATTTGCTGTTATTCTTAATTTGCATATTAAACATAAAGGTCTTGATTCAAGAATTTATTCCTTTGTTCTAATAATAACCTATTTTTTTTCTAAATAGTGTAATTTCTTCTGCTATGTATGTGGAATTGTTTCATTGATTTATCCTTGTGTGCTTCTCTCAGTGTTAGAATAAATTATCTTCTAAAAAATAGTAATAATTCTGATGTGTATATATATAAATATTGCAATTCGTTCTTCGATTTCTCCTATAAGAATATAGAAAAATATCGGTCATCTCGAGGTAATGAATTACACGCTTAAAACACTAAAATATCTTTGATATGGAGACTTAATTACTTTACACAAATGGATATACACATTTGTACAATCTTTGGACTTGCTCTCTAATCATTTAAAAATGCTCAGTCCTCTGCTTCTCAAATATGAAATACTGTTCTAATACATAGAATAATCTTTGCACTGTTATCCACCTTCTTCTATTTGAAGTATCTAAGATTATTGTTGAATTCCTCAGTTATGGTTACTGCTAATTATAACTAATAGTTATGTGGTATTTATAATATGGTACACGCTTATGTACAGAGAAGCTACTCTTCCTGTTTTCGAGTAAAGTGCTTCTTGAGTCTTAATACTTTCGTAGGACGTTTTTTTCTAAACTTTCCGGCTTCTTTCAGAAGATGTACTTGACCTGCAGGTTCACCGTCGATCTGAACGTCGATCCGTTAGGGCAATTTCTTCTCTCTTGGCTCTTGTTATCTACATGGTACACATAAACATGCATAAATTAAAAATCGAATTAGATTATCCTAAATAGAGAGAAAAAGAGAGAGAAAGAAAAAAAATTGTAAAAATATAAGTAAAATAAACTAAATTATAGGTAGAAGGAATAGAAGTAAAGTAACAAAACAAGTATAGGAAATTAAAGAATAAGTAGAAAGAGTTGTTAGTGAAATAATAAGAGAAATAAATAAGGAAAAAATATAAATTGAATTGAATTGAATAGTGAAATTAGATTAGATTTTTAATCATCCATACTGACGGGTAGAATTTCGTAGTTCCACTCCATCGTACATGTTGAGATTGTGTATTCTAGAGTATTCGTTCACCACCCGCTTCCCTAGATTAAGCAATGTGTAAAAATAATTATGTGATTATTGTTATTATTAATAATTATTTGGAAATATGTTGCTTAGGAATGAACCGATCGAACGATCCTCGATCGATTGATTCGATTCGGCGTTAGTACCTTCGTCGATGCGTCGTGCCGCTTCCTCCAGGTCGGCACGGGCGTCCTTAAGAATGGCGTACATCAATGGCATCATCTCCCACGGATACTTAAACCGTTCCAGAAGCTTCTGGCAATCCTCCAACAGATCTGTGCTTTGGGCTGCAAAGAAAATATATACATTATTAACATTTGATATTTACAAAAATTTACTAATATTATTACACAAATTTATGAATGCTAATAGAAAGTTTTTTTTTTGCATATTTTCACAAGTCACATAAAAGATCATAAAAACAAATATAATTATTTCAAAGTATTAGTAATATAATTAAAATATAATAAAATTTGAATGGGAGCCGCACTTGACTCATGGAAGAGCCGCATGCGGCTCTCGGAGAGGCATTTTCTCACTGTTACCATATAGAATAAACATTTAAATAATAGACCTCAGTAAGTATTTTGAATATTTTAATCGATTTTTTCCATTTTATGCAGTCAGTAATACAGAATTTTACATATATAAAAGTAAAAATCATGATAAAGAATAAGTATATTTTGGGTTTTTTTTTTTAATTCCCGCGACTTACGAACGTTTGTTCTGTTTGGAGCGGAACTAGTTCGTAAGTCGGGGGATACCTGTGTTATAAAAACAAACACTGAATTTCGAAGATAACTCAATCATTTTAAAAATATTAATTTTTAGGATTTTCTTTGTTGATTTGTTAGGTTGGATGTAAAAATAACTAAATTATTACATATATAAAAAGATATACGAATTAATATAAATCAATAATAAAATGAGAAACAATAAAAGAGATAATTATAAGAGATTATCGAAAATGAGTAAGAATTACACAAATTGTAAAATATTGAATAATTAACTCAATATTTAAAAAATATAACTTAATGTTTTGATGTAAGTACAGAAATTTAACAATATTATATAAACTAAATTTATTTATATATGTTTGTTATTGTTAAATAGATATAAAAAATGGTTGATTTGAGAATATACAATTGTATTTTGACATGTTCCTAATGTAATCTATATGCGTTTGATATAAGGTTATGAGAATGACCATGGTCAATGGACGGTGATTAGAAGAAGGCCTGGTGCGCCATGGTTACGGAGCTGCGGCTAATTGGCTGTTCTAATCACATTGGAAAGTGTAGAGATTTATTATTAGATAAAGTGTGTTAATTCCCGCGACTTACGAACAAATTCGACTTACGAACGGTTGTTAGGTTTGGAACGGAACGAGTTCGTAAGTCGGGGGATACCTGTGTTATATATATAACAAACACTGAATTTTGAAGATAACTCAATCATTTTAAAAATATAAATTTTTATGATTTTCTTTGTTGATTTGTTAGGTTGGATATAAAAATAACTAAATTATAGTGCCATGAAACTGCAAATTTATAAAAAGGAATGAAGATTTTCATAAAAAGATATACGAATTAATATAAATCAATAATGAAATGAGAAACAATAAAACAATATAAGAGAATATAATTAACTCAATATTTAAAAAATGTAACTTAATGTTTTGATGTAAGTACAGAAATTTAACAATATGATATAAATTAATTTTATTTATATATGTTTGTTATTCTTAAATAGATATACAAAATGGTTGATTTGAGAATATACAATTGTATTTTGACATGTTCCTAATGTAATCTATATGTGTATGATATAAGGTTATGAGAATGACCATGGTCAATGGACGGTGATTAGAAGAAGGCCTGGTGCGCCATGGTTACGGAGCCGCGGCTAATTGGACGTTCTAATCACATTGGAAAGTGTAGAGATTTATTATTAGATAAAGTGTGTGACCAATGGAAACGCGCCAGGAGGAGCGTTTAGAAGCGAGCCTTACCATTGGCCTGTGTCGTGCAAACGACGAGAAGAAACAAAACTAGTTCCTCTCTCCGTGCCGAAGATAGAAAGGAGGAAAAGTAAATGGAGGAAAAAAAGAGGAGAGGAGGCGAACGCTGCAAAAGCGGGGAAGAAGAATTATTGCCTCTAACGGCCCCCCTCGACATCCAAGGGGCGGGAACGGACGTTGAATATCAGGGGGGGAATGTCGTACATACATACATACATACATATACACACACATATACACGTACTCACACAGCTGCAGTACACATACAAACACGCGTCTCTAGAACTCCAAGGACTGCTTCCTTTTAAATACATTCGGAACGTTATACAGTTAGTTTCTTATTATTATACATTAATTTACTGAGCTCAATTACAACAACACCGAATAAACCATTTGAATTTATAACATGTTACACTGAAATGGGTTAATCATTACATAAATTATTCAATGCGAATCATTTACTAAAATAATTTCTAAATTTATGTTCTACATTTCATTAAAGATAATTATATTATATGAAGTAATATGCTTTTTATAGGTACATATTTATCACAATAATGCTGATTAATAGATGACTAACGAGTTGAAAATTTCAACACAAACTCAATTTTAATTGTCAAACACTTGGTTAAGTAAGATAATGTCAAAATGTATGTTATTATGTGTAGTTAAGACGTAGTAACGTAAAATGTGACAGATCAACAAAACTATATACTTTCTTTATAAGTAACCCTAATTTCATTAATTTTGAATTCAAATTCACTTGAGAGTTTTGTAATATATACGTTAATTTGTTACTGAATATATTTTAAACAAATTTATTGGTCACAACTAGCCAAATACTTGTGCAAATTATCAAAATGATCTTTTTCACATCATTAAGTTTATTATTAGGTAACTTAATATGTTATATGGTATACTGAAAATGTCTAATTAAGTATTCAATATCGTGGGATTATTAAATTTAGAAAACTTTTTGTAAATAAAACATATTTTATAATTGTTCATATAAATCTTAAGTAAAGCTGTATTGAACGTGCACGTTTATTAATAAAGCTTCGGTTACCAAGTGGATCTGGAAAGCTAAGATAAATCTCCCGTTTAATGGATTAAGCTCCAATCAATCAGCTCATACCATTTTATTTAATTACGAAATATTACCATTTTTTTTTATTATTATTATTTTGTTTAGTCCTGTTTGCATCACTCGCCGAGATACAAATGAGCCGCGAAGCAATTAAAAAGCTTTTAAAAGCAAACTAGTTATTCGAGATTTTGCAGAAGTGGTCGAATAGTCATACAGCTGGAGAAAATAAAATGGCGTGCAAATAGGTATGCATATAGAGTTACAAGCAATAAAGCAATACAATCCATCCGACTGCGAATGTCCCGGGGGACCGTAAAATTTGAATTCATTCTTTCTCCACTATTCTCCGTTGTTGCTGTTTCTTTTATTTGTTCTTCGTTATTTTGTTTTACTGCTTAATTGTTTGCTTGAAAAATGCGAAAGGAATGGAAAGAAAACGGCGTAAATAACAACGAGAACGAGAGAGCCGTCGTTAAAATAGATATATTACCTCCTGCACGAGGGGAACGCGAGTTTCTATTCATCGCATCTCCGTGCTAAAATTCAATAATTAAATTCGTAATTGCTTCTCGGATAATGGAGATGGCGTTGCACCGGGATCAGCTTGATCTATGCAACCGGATAGTGGAGATAGCTGTTGTTAATATTGCGAAATACCAAATCGAAATCGCCACTCATTTTTACAATGACATCTGTTACTTTTTTTTTTTACAATAATTTAAACATCTGTCCAAGTTGATTTCAACAGTTCCAAATAGCTCATAATAACATTTCAATACGTTTTTTTGTTATTAAAAATTATTGGCGTATTTTCAAATCCTTGTCTTCCCTGCAAAATATTATTTGGGCCCCCAAATTCGTGGGCCATAGACACCAGTTAGTGTTACTTCATATTCGTCTGTCATATTTACAACAACATATATTGTTTGAATAAGTTAAACATCTGTCAATTTCAATATTTCATTTATTTACATTTTTTTTTTGTCCTATTACAAAATATGTATCCTTAATAAAATTTGAAAGTGCTTATTACTACTAATATTGGTTATTATATAATATATTAATTAAATATATATCTAATAATTAATTTGCCTTCAATTAGTAACAAAACGTTTGGATAGAAAAAACAATTCAATGATAAATTAACGCTGTTAAAATATCGACATCTGTTGTCGGTTTATTGCATTATACAACTGTCAAAGTTGATTATAGTTTGCAAACAATTATTCATTGTCGTCATTGTAAAAACTACCCAAAATTTCTATATTCGAACAATTACAGAGAAATTAATTGTAGCGATAAAAGAAAAATGGTCTATTAGTAGTAGAACCATGCCAATCAAGCAAGATAATGCTAAACCATATTGCAGTGTTGATGATGAGGAAGTTGTTCGTGCTGGTACTGAAAATGAGTGAAACATAATAATGATTTTTCAACCACCAAACAACCTCGATTTGGGTTTCTTTAACGCCATTCAATCATTACAACAAAAAGAGTTCCTATCCAGTATTGATGAACTAATTGCGGCCGTACATAAAGCATGGGACAAAATAACCGTGGAAAAACTAGACAGTGTTTTCATTATAGAAGTGTATGAAATTGACCATGCTTCATAAAGGAGGTAACGATTACAAGCTTCCTCACATGAGCAAGGACAAAGTGCATTTGCAAGTAACATTATTGCACATCAGGAACTTGACCGTTTATAGTTACTAATAAGATAAATGTTACTCATAACTATTAATTTTAACACATTATTTCTATTTGCATATTTTCTTTATGAAATTGGACACGTATTTTGGGTAGTTTTTACTATATAAAGGGTGTCCCAAAATTAACGCAAGATTTGAATTTGCTGTCATTTGTGCAGTAAAGTGTTGGCAACCCCAAAAAATAAACAATTTGACAGCTGAGAGGTTAGGGTTAGTAAAAATGGGTCGTGCACAGCAAAGAGAGTTCGTTAAAAGGATTATTGAGCATCAACAAGTGAATGCTGATTTTTCGAGCAAAATCATCCTAAGCGTGAAGCACATTTTCACCTTGATGGCTTTGTTAATCGTTAATTGCCGCATTTGGGGTCTGGAGAACCCACATGTGATTGTCGAAAAACAAATGCATCCACAGCGTGTCACTGTTTGGTGCGGATTTTGGGCTGGAGGCATCATTGGACCATACTTTTT